ACGTAATTCTTACTTTCAACTGAATTTGCAAATTATAATATCGATAACTCATTCTGCGAACTATTATACACAATTATTGTAAAACTATTTGTACAACTGAAGAGGAAGGGAAATATAATTTTTTTTATGTTCTCCTACACTGAAATGCATTTTTTCCCTTCCAAAAGATTTGATGAAATATGTAATTTGTATATATCAAGACGATCTGCAGGAAGACGCTCTGTGGGATCGAGATAAACTCGATCCACAAAAATCAGTGATGAACGAGGCTCCTTTTTCTAATTCAAGCTTGGTCTTCAATGACAGTTGAGTCGAACAATGCCATCGTGGTGCAGCCTAGTTGGACTTCTGTTTGAACTGTACCGATCGTTTAAACAAAATATGTTTTGATATGAAATGCCTAATTGATTTCGAAATTTTTCCAAAAAACCAAGGTGCTTAGTCAATTATAACATGAATCAATTTTCAGTGTGCCATTCCGTTAATTTAANCCAAATGTTCAAATAATACTTTCAATTTGTATAACTTATATTTTTTTAAATAATAACACTTTGACAATAATATTTTATTTTCGACAATATCTTTTAAGTTGTGTATATTATATTTCTTAGAATAGTAAGACTTTGTCAATGAGATTTCATCTTCAACAATAAAGTACATTTTGATTCGATTTGATTGCAATAATTGATAGTTACGTACACCGCCATCTGCCTGCGAATAGATCAAGAAATATCAATTAGCTACGAACAGCGCCATCTGCCCGCGAGTAGATCAAGCAATAATGCTGATAATTCTGTCAATACAGATCACGATCTTGAGAGTTACACACAAACATGCATACAAACAATCATACATACATACATACAGGTGAAGCTAATATAAAGCGTGTAAAAAAAGGAGTCAATAATTCTTTTCAGGTTTCTATGTGTATGAAGTCTTTATTAATAAAATGCTAATATACAGGAAGGTTATTATGTCCTAAATGTTTTAAATTTCGAACTAAGTGTTAAAATTTGAGAAACAATTCTCTTCTTCACGAATGCCTCGGTATTTTTGTAAAAAGGAAATTTTGAACTATATGCCAAAATTTAAGACATAATCCTATTCTTCATGGTAGCTGTGGTATTTTTGTAAGAAGTACGCAATTTTATACATTAAAAGAATTTTCTGCGTTACAACTTTTTTTTCAGTGGCGCCCGTAGTTTAACAAGAAACTATGATGTCATTTCTCAACTGCTCTTCAGCAGATGAGACCATTTTAAATAAACCATGGACAAGTCACCAAAGAGTAGATCCCGACTCCAAATATGTGAAATATGCTATTTAAATTGTTCATAATGTACTTTCTTCGAAATTATCTTCTTAAACGAATTCAATTTCTGCTTTTATTACAATACGTTGCAGTCCCTTGAGATGATTGTTCTGTTCAAAATTTCTCTCATTCTAAAAATGTTCGGTCATCCAGAATATTTGTATTTCTATTCGGTAACTGACCTTCATTCAACCCCTTGGCTTCCAACCCCAGCCAACCCATATTTTGTGCAGAACAATTCAACGCATCAAGGTTGGACAAAACTTATGTTAAGAAGTATCATTTTTAGTACTGTTTGATAATGTGTATCATTTTTCGCGAAAGAAAGTTATTAACTTTTTTGACAGAAAATCAATCAATCAATCAAAATATACTTTATTGTCGAAAAAAGTCTTATTTTGTTGACAAAGTAGAATATACACGTACAGAAATAAAATTTAGGCAAAATACACACAATTATGTAAAATATAAATAAAATA